CTTCAGGTCATTGTCCTGCTTAAATGTGAATTTTTGACCAAGTTTTAGATTCTTGACTGACTCAAGCAGGTTTTCCTCCAGGATTTGCCTGTACTTTGCACTATCCATCTTTCCCTCAATTCTGACGAGCTTCCTAGTCCCTGCTGATGAGAAGCATCCCCATAACATGATTCTGCTGCCACCATGTTGGTTGACAGCTGAGATGGTGTTGACTGGGTGACATGCTGTGTTGGGCTTGCTCCAGATGTAATGCTTTGAATTTAGACTAAAAAGCTCAATTTTTATCTTGTCTGACCACAAAACCTTCTGCCATGTGTCTGCAGTATCATTTACATGCTTTGATGCAAACTCCATATGAGAAATGAGATGATTCTTTTTCAGTAATGGCTTCTTTCTTGCCACTCCCCCATACAGACCAGCTTTGTGTAGGGACTGAGATATTATCGATGTATGAACACTGACTCTCATCTCGGTTATGGAACTTTGCAATTAAATCTTTTAAAGTCATTGTTGGCTTCACAGTGGCATCCCTAACCAGTTTTCTGTTTGTCAGGTTGCTTAGTTTGGAAGGGTGGCCTGATCTGGGTAGTGACTGGGTATTATGAATACTTTTGCAAGGCACTGTAAACAACTTATCACCAGTAGCCAGAACTCCTGCACAAAAACTAACATAGAGCATACTTCTTATTTTCATATGTTGGGCAACCCAACAGCAGTAGCCAGAACTCCTGCACAACAAATAACATAGAGCACATTTCTTTTCCTCACATGTAAACAACCCAGCATCAGTAGCCAGAACTCGTGCACAACCATTAACATAGATACCTTATTTTTTGTCACATGTAAACAACCCAGCATCAGTAGCCATCTTTCTTGTACAACAACTAACATATAGCTGTCATGTAACTGTCTTTTTTTCTTTCTTCAGAAGTTTGACAGTTAGGCAGTTACATACAATAATTAACATTGAACTGTCTTCTTTTGTGTCACAGGTTTGACAACCCAGCAGCTGTAGCCACCACTCCTGCTCGGCAGTTAACCTATAACTACCTTCTCTCTGTCAATGCATGGTTGCTTCTCTTTCCTTCCAGTTTGTGCTGTGATTGGACCATGGGAACAATACCATTAGTGGAGTCATTCATAGATTTCCGTAACTTAGCTACATTAGGTCTTTATTTCTCTCTTATACTGCTAGTGTGGAGTGTCTTTTCATCAGATGATGGACATGCTGAAGTTGTTATCATGGTAGGTGTGTTTAGAATTGCAAAAATTTATTTAGTGCAAGGATGAATGTGGTAGATAATTATTGATATGAACTATAGTCCACATGTCTAGTTTTGATTTTTACTTTGCTGTAAGTTTCAACCCAAAAAATCTTGTAGCATTTGAAATAAGTTTTAGCACAAGTGAATCATTAAGATAAGTATATACTTGTGGCATGTGAAACTAGCTCAGTAGCTTATTCTGAATTTTTCGTTTTAAAGTTATTAGTTTTTAATTTGAAAATAACATTATTCTCACCATGTAACAAACTTTAAATGGGTAATATACCATTCTTAATTTGGACCTCTAGGAGCTAGATTTGTTGTTTCTTGAACTCATAATGCTAAATAATTATAACATATAAAGCAGTAATATATAGTTGTTTTATTGATGTCTAGGGTCTGGCCCTGCTGGTTTTACCATTTCTTCCGGCTTCCAACTTATTTTTTCCTGTAGGCTTTGTTGTGGCAGAACGAATACTATATACACCAAGTATGGGCCTATGTCTGCTGGTTGCTTATGGCTGGCATATTTTAATAGAGAGAATGTAAGTATAAGACCAGTTGGGTTTGTATGAAAATAAAACATTTTTTGTGATTAACTGAAGTTTGTAAATGTGTATCAAACTTGAGTTTTCAGTTTTTGTTGAAAATGTACGTTATTGGCCATTATTATTGCAAAAACAAGGATTTGTATTGGTCTGGTAAGAGAATGGATAGTTGGTAATGGGCAATGTTACAAGTTGATTTATAGATGAGCACTCTAAGCTTAAAGTACTTGGTCAGCTAACAAAATTAACCAATAAACATCATATTGAATTGCCACTTATCCTTACATCACCAAACTGGTACAATTTTTCAAGCAAGATTGGCATACCATAACCTTATTTAAAATATTCATACTTCTTCTTTCATATATTGTGTTAACCAAATCTTGTATACCTGAGTACACATATTCTCACAAGCCTCACTTAATTACCTACCTCTCCTTATAAAGGCATAAAGTGCCAATTTACTACGTTTTTTGCACCATAAAAATGTTTTTTTTACATCAGTCATGTTTGATTTGTAGCTATATTCCAAATAGCTAATAATGTATCATCTCTGATTCAAACAAAACTTTAGATGTGTCATTTTTAGTGTCAAAAACAGTCATGGTTAGTGAGATTGTTCCATTATGTGTCTCAGCTATATAAAGGGGTTATGTCTTGTAAAGATGTTATAACATCATTAATGTAAGATGTGTTGTTCACCACTGCCACCAAAACTTCCTGTATATCTTTCAGTTTTTCAGAATATTTCTCCCCCATGTCTGGTGTGTGTATATATATAGAAATGAAAGATCAGAACTTAAAAAAAAGAACAAATATATACAATTACATTTTCACCACCCCGTTTTATGTATACCACTTTAAGTCTGTAAGTGTCTTCTTTGCGCACTGAAAGTGTCTCTATTTATGGCAAAATATAAAAATTTTTAAAATGGACTGACTAATGTTTAAAACATCCTAAGTTACCATGTTTGTCTTTTTATACCATAATATGTACTTTCCAAATTATTTGTATTTTAACATTTTCAAAATCTCTAAAGAATGGAAATATCAAGTACTTTAACTAGTGTAAACATTAAGATCAAAATTATGAGAATTTTAAACTTGCCCAAATACCTTTTTCTGTCTCATGTCACTTACAAGTACATAAAGAATTTATCCAGTTATACATTGTGTGTTAATGAACTTCACGTTTATAGACAGTTTTGTATTTTTGTACTTTTAGAAACTGAGAAATCTGGTAAATTTTAAAATCACTATAAGGTGTTTGTATTTGTAGTTGTTGTGGTAAAAAAAATGTTTTTAGTGTAACTCGTTTAAAATCTTGGAATCTCTGATTTTGATGGATGGAATCACTTCCAGTGCAAAATAGTTTTAATATTATCAGAATAATTTATTTTGCTAGAAAAACCAGCTGGTATTTCTTGACTGTTATATTCAGACATCTTTAGCATGAAGTTCGGTAATCACGTGTGTGAATCATATAATTGTTTTTTCTTCCTCTGTATTTTTACCTTAATTTTTTATTGAACTTCTTCATATAGAAAGTGGAAACCCATGCTCTGGATCTTGTTGACTGTGCTTGTTTTATCACATAGTTTAAAAACTATTGTTCGAAACTTTGACTGGTAGGTTGCAATTTAAGTTCTGTTTTTTTCTTACTTCCATTCACATGTATTGCTGTTTTTCTCCTAGTATTTCCAGGTATATACTCGTTTATTTTTCTTGAAAAAGTTTACATCATTATGGTACTTTAGGAAAATTCAACACATGTCCAGAGTTTGTCTTTCTGTTAGAGAAAAATCATTGAATTTTTCTAATCACATACACATAGGATGTTAACAAAATTTTTTGAGTTCAATCATTGTTAGAATTCTTTCAAATATTAACATTCACGGGCCTATAATACTTCTCAATGTATATGGATCAATTTAATAAAGTAAAGTATATAGATTATCGTACTGGAATGTAAATAACAGAAAATTGGACAACAAAATATGAATTGGACTAAAAAGTCAATAAAAATGTTTTATTTGTCTTTGTATACTTGTGTACCCATTTAATGTTTTTTTTAAATCTTTTATTAATTATAATTCTGTGCTGGTAGCAGTTTTGCACACACATTGTAAGTTCAATGTTTAATGAAATTGTATTTATTTGCTGTATGAGTTATTTATGCAAAAAAATACTGAAAATGATGTTTGTTAACATTTTATGAATTACACACCAGAAAGATCTATCACCTCTACTAAATTATTATTGTTTTTTCAGCTTTAACAGGACTTAGCACATCTATATTGTCATATTTACCTAACCCAGAGCTAGAACTAAAGGAGTATAGGAAGTACTGTAATGGAAAATAAACACTTGATTTCAGTTGCTTCATTAAATTTTAATTCAGCATACTTTGTGCATGTGGTATTTAAATATTATTTCTGTTACCTTTAAAAGCAAGTCCAAGTTTTTGTTGTTTTTATCTGAATTTTAAATCAACTTGTAGCTCATCAGAGAATATAGAGGATTTGATCTTGACATAACAAGCATGTAAGACATTGCATGTACATATTAGTTAAAATGTTTTTCTGCATCTTAGGAAATCTGAATATACATTATTCATGGCCGGATTAAAAGTAAATAAAGAAAATGCCAAGCTATACAATAATGTGGGTCATGCTTTAGAAGGTGAAGGAAATTACCAGGAAGCACTAGCATATTTCCTCGAGGCTGTTCGGTAAGTGTCTTGAATCTTAATTTTTATTGTAGGACCTTCAGATCAGTTACTTTAATTGGTTTATGTAATAGATAATGCTACCTATATATATATTACATTTTTCCAACTATTGTATCTGTCTATCTACTTACCCTATCATCCAACATCATTACATATAAAAAATGAGTTAACAGCTTTTAATATACTTCATGTGTACCAGTAATCAGTATACATGCTGTGCAGACATACACAGTTTCAACACCTAAAATCTATAATTGGAATAATAATTTTACCAAAATAAGCTCTTGTTTTCTTAGTGCCCAAGATGATGATATTGGAGCTCATATCAATGTTGGAAGGACATACAACAATCTTCAAATGTATAATGAGGCGGAGGAATCCTTTCGGAAGGTAAAATTCTATAATAAAAACACCAGTCAACAATAATCTTCTGTAATAATCTGTTTTAATATTCTAGTCATCTATAGCTCTAATAAAGGAAAGCTATAGTTAATTTTCTTCTGTAACATTTGTGTTAAAGGTATTGCTTACAAAATCAAGTAACTAGCAGACACAAAATAAGCAGATAAATATAGATAGAACTCAAAGAAAGTATTCCTTACAATTAACTCATTTTTTTCATCTCTTTTTAAAAAGCGTATCAAAAATAAACTCCTATAAAATCACATTTTACTAAAAGTAACTAGTTCTGTTTTGATTTTATTTAATATTTTTTTTTTGTGTGTATTTGATCTGCAGTTCTCTAAGCACAAACAATTTGGTTAATATGTAATTCAGGCTGTAACGTTTTTATTATGATTGTATGCTTGAATTGTGGTGGAATTATGCATTTAAAATAAATACTTATATGTACTAATCTTCAAAATAGAATTTCATCATTAACATTATCTGCATTGAATATTACAGATATAGTGTGGTTGAAATTATTATGTCTTCCTTTACTTTCACTCATGCTTTCTTATAATTTTTAAAATTTACTTAGTTAAACAAAATTACTTTATTTTTAGCAATATACAAGCTGTATTGTAAATAACTTTATAAATAGTTCTGTAAACTTTTTGTTTTTAGAAAATTTGTTCTTTGGTGTACTTTCAAGGTAGCTATATAGATATATTTATTGTAAGGTTCTGTGGGGTAGCTTTCTGAATCATTGATGTAGTTGGGATGATGAGAGCTAAATGAGATATTTTTACAGCAAGTGAGCATAATTACATCTTTTTTTGTTTATTTTTATCATTAATTTGGTTTTGGTATGTAATTTAAATGAAGTCATTAAAATTATAAAAGAATAAAATGTTCAGACTATTATGAATATGAAGGGTTCAGATCTTATTGTGTTATTTTATGTGTAGTTATTGTTATAGTTCCTCAAACTGGGAAACTTAAATTTTCTCAAAAAGTTTTATTTATTGTTTTTATTAAAGTTGAGGATTATAATTAATTGAAGACGTATTTTAATGTCGGCACTTTTATTTTTCTGCTGAAATCATAAAATAAAAAATGTTCCCATTTTTTTGGTTTTGTATGTGTTCTTTCTAAGTATACTTTTCAAAGTCACAGTGTGTTTGGGGTTACATGAATATAATTTTTAATATTTAGGCAAAAGCTTTGCTTCCTCGGCCCAAGTCTGGAGAGCCATATAAAGCAAGAATTGCTCCAAATCACTTGAATGTCTTTCTCAACCTTGCTAATTTAATCTCTCGAAATAAGAGTCGTTTGGAAGAGGCTGATGCTGTGAGTATAACATAAAAATGTTTACAATTAAATCATATGTTGAAGTTTTGAAATTAAAATTCCAAGGAAAAAGTACATTCATACAAGCAAATAGGGATAGAATTTTTGCTTTTATGCTACAGGATTGTCAAAACTTACATAATTATAATTTTTTAAAGAAACTTTTGTAAGTAAAATATTTCCTGTGTTTTTATCTAACTATATATTCACTTTTGATCTTGCATTTTTTGCAATTACATATGGATTTGTAATTCTAACTAGGAAAATATTGGTTATAGGGATTATTCATTAGTGTAAATACAGAATTCAAATTTCAACTGAATCTTCCTGGCTACATATATATATAAATTCATATGTGATTAACAATAATCTTTATTCTTTTCAAAACATTGCTCACTATATTGGAATTTCTAATTTTTGCAGTATTATACAGAGACCAAATGAATCAAAATGAAATTGTCTTTTGTATTTTACTCATAACAATTTCATACTTTGATAAATTCGTTAGTTAGGTTTCTACATTTTACCTGTCTATAGCTGTGATTTGTTCAGTCACTTAGTTTTTCCACTACCCTTCTTCAATCTTTACTTCATGCATCTCCTTAAATCCTATTTTCAATTCTATTTTTTATAAATCTCACTTTTGTTTTGTGCTGTTTCCTTTATACATGTCCCATAGCGTAAAGTATTAATCATTTTAATTGTCAATAGATTTTTCCATTGTAATTAACACTCCCTGTTCCAATAAGTTTATGAATATCATTACACCTTTGTGTTCACTTAAAAAAATATAAAAAGAACCATCCTTTGAGAGTACTTTAATTTTTTAAACTGATAATTTATGTGCGATTAACTCACGTAACTTAGAGTTGATGTAAGACAGATGACATTTATACAATAATTCTGAAAATACATTTTCATAAACGTATATATCATATATTGAACATAAACATATTTTCTTTTCTTCTGTGAGACAGTAGTCAGTGAATGATGTTGCACAATATTACAGACATGTATGACTTAAATAATAAAACTTATTAATTCCAGCTTTACAGACAAGCTATCAGTATGAGGGCAGATTACATCCAAGCATATATTAACAGAGGTGACATTCTAATCAAGTTAAATAGGTATGAGCATCTATTTATCTGTTTTTAAACAATAATCATAAGGAACGTTTGATCTAATGGTGAAATCTTTACTTTCTGCCCCAACAATTAATAGTCTAATAGTAGATGAAAATGACACTTTTACACACCTGGAAAAATCTGATGTTTTCACTCGGTTAAAAATCAAGAGATTGGAAAATTCTGATATAGTACATTACTTCCTCTCACATAAATAACTATTCTCGTTCAGTGCTGCCCTCTATATGAAAAACATTTTTTATGCATGTCACAAGCCTCCATTGGAATTGACTGATTCCAAAGCGTCTCATGACACATGTGACTCCCTCTATTCAATTCTACCAAACTATGACTTCTTGCTTGGCAGTACTCTTGCTCAGATGTTTTTCTTTTGATGTTCTTTGTATGAATCGTGATTTTGATAGTTTAATTTTAGAAGTGGGATTTCTTCATTATTATATTTTTTCTTTACACTGAAGTATCTTTTAATTCAATACAATTTACCAGTCTTAATTTTTTTCTCACACTTACATATTTTACATCAAACATTTTTCTTTTATTTACATATTTCTACAATGAATTCTGAGGTTCATGTTACCACTTCGGATGTTATTCTTCCAGCACTATTATCACAGTGATCTGGCTTCTCCTAACACTTAGCCTCTTTTCTGACTTGTTTCATTCGCCCTTCCTACATGGATGTTTCTCAATGCAAATGGAATTTTTCCATCGTTGGTTTCTGGGTCCATGGTTTTACCCTGATCAACCCATTGTTCTTCATCATGCATATTTCCTCTCTTGACTTTTGGATCTGGGGCACTTTGTCCCACATCTTTCGTTTTTCCCGATCTCTCAGGTACATACCTCTCCTACACTTTACCTGTGGATGTGTTCCTTCCAGATTTGTCTTCCACCACAGCTGGCTGCCCTTCCAGATGGGGATATTAATGTGGTCCTGCACTGACTCACTATGCCTACATTCGAACCACTCTCCCAGTGCTTCTTGTTTCACTTTCCCTCATGTCTTCCTTCCTTCTCCTATTTGCCTGTGGATGTCGGTGGTCTGTTTATTTGCCGTCAATGTTTCAAACACTCTTTATTCTTCTATGTATCTTCTACTTTCTCCAGATTGTTTTTCCTCCTTCACACTTTGGTGGCTCATGAGGATACCTCCTTTGTTTAGGTACTTTCCCTTCCCTTCCACACCTTTATCCTTGTCCTGATCCGGATAGACTTCTATGTCCTGTATGTGCTCTTCTGTGTTATACTGCCTGCACGGCTTCCTTCTGTGTCCATTCCCACCTCCTAGCAACTGTCCTCTTTTCGTGTTCTTTCTCCTTCCTCCTTCACCAGTTGGGCTCAGTTTTTCATTCAATTGGCTTCTTCCTCTTTATTATCTTCCTCTCGTATTTTGTTCCGAGTGTTTTCTCACCCAGTTCGACACTACCTTTTCATTGGAATTTCATCTTCATTGTCCTTTAAAGGTACTTCTTCAATCAGGCACATGGACTACCCAGGATATGTTCGTCTCTAACTATTTGCACTGTATTGCGGTTTTCTTCCTCTTCAGGTTATTGTCTTCTGCCTGTAGATATTCTAGAATATCAGAATTCAGTGAGACTTTGAGTGGGTAAGTTGTTGTTGTTTTTTCTTATTTTTCCTTTTCAGGGGCCCTTTTTCCTTTTATAAATGCTCATTGTTTGGATCCTGCTCTGTGGTGAGTGATGCCCGACCAGGTATTCTTTAACTGTTCAAATCTGCACTATCAAGCCATGTCGAATTGCATATTATAATTCCATGGCCGTTTGTAGGTTTATCCTACAATAGAATTGCTTCATAAGTTTGTCCATCCTGGAACATACTTACCCATGGATTACATGGGTAAAGCAGAAGGAAATAGCTGCGCATCCCTGTCGTGCCTTGTATTGAATAAATTGGTATGATCTGCTTTAAAATATTGGGTTTCTTGGTCATCCATTGCACTATCTGAGGTGTTGTCATTCCTCCATACTTTCTACCACGTTTTACCCCCCTTTTTTTCAGTTGAGACTAAGGGCAGCGGTGGTCTGCTGGTGTAGATGATGTGATATCCTCCAATCTGAAACATAAAAACAAATGGGAGTTAGACGTCAAAATTGCAGTTTACCCCTTCCATTGGGATTCCTCATCCTACCACCATGTGGATGTCGGTTCCAAGTATCCAGGTTTTGTATTTAGAGTATAACCAATCAACATAAGTCCTCACACATCTATTACAGATGTTTATATTCCTCCCTCATTTATACTCCATCAGTGTTGTGGGTCACGTTATAGGTAATTGCAGATTGTTGTGGTCCTTTCCCTACCACTATCCCTCGCTGTATCTTATTCCGAAGATGTTAATACACTTGGGATGGCTGTGATCAATTTCACTTTTGAGGGAGATGGCTTGCATTATGTAGACATCCTTTAGTTACCAGATTTCAGGTTCTTGGATCGATCTATCAATTTAGCATATTCACATGTGCCTCGTTTATGAGTCAGGTGGTACTAGATTCCCTCCAGTCACATGAACTTGAGGTGAAGATGGTATGATCCTCTTTCTTACCCCCACATGGATGTTGGTACCTTGTGGCTGGGTTTTTGGATTGTAGTTGACTTGCCACTAGTATGTTCTTCTTTCCTACCTCCACATGGATATCAGTTCCTGGTGGACTGGGTTTTGGATTGTAGTTGACTTGCTGGTGGTATGATCCTCTTTCCTACCTACACATGGATTTTGGTACCTGGTGGCTGGGTTTTGTATTGTAGTTGACTTATCGATGGTATGATCGTCATCCTACCCTCACATGGATGTCAATTCCCAGCAGCATGGGTTTTGGATGTAATTGACTTGCTCTGTATGGTCCAATTCACCATAGCCATTCTATACCTATAGGCACATCCTTTTTATTTTATACACTTTTATAATTTCTGGGATTGAGTTTCATAAATATTGCATGGTTCGGATCACATTCTGTCTATAGCTCTCTCCCAGTTGGATGTGCTCCTCTGTTTTCTGCCCCTATATGCAACATCTTTCTACGATGGGCAAGGAGTATACCTGGTTCAGAAGTGGTGCGGTTCCTCACATCAGATCTTAGAATCTCACTGTCTCATCTTAGGGACTGTCCTTCAGATGCTTTCAAAAGATGCATCTTTCTTTCCCTCACAATGGTCCCTCCACCTGTTCAGTGTAAGATTCTTGCTAGTTATGTGAGGAGAGGTAATATATTATATTGGAATTTATAATTTTCTTACACTGAAAATGTATTTCTGATAGGTACTTACCTCCTCTCCCACTTCCCACCTTTCCTCTCCCACTAAAAACGGGTGCTTCCATTTCCATTTTCCATTAAATAGGAGTTGCATGTATCGTAAGAGTATGTTGCACTCTTATTGGTGGAGGGTTGACACATGATGATTTGCATGAGAGATGCATTGGAATCAGTCAATTCCAATAGAGGAGAGATTAAAGGCATGTGGGATGTGTAAAGTTTTTCATATAGAGGGCAGCACTGAACAAAAATAGCTATTTATGTAAGTAGAGGTAAGTATCTACCAGAAAAACATTTTTAGTATAGGAAAATTATAACTTTTGAGAACCTGGATAAGGCAAACAAATGTAATGAAAGAATTTGAGGATTGCCAAATATTCCAGATGAATTATATTCAAAATTGTTTTTTTTTAGCAATATTTATTATTATTTGTGACAGAGTAAGATTAAATTAATTTTTACATTGTATTTTCTCGTAAAGGTTTGAAAGAATAGAATGTTCTTGAAGTTGGGAATCCTGAATTTAAGTTTAAGATCACGAAACTTAATATTTTTTTTATGCAATAGGATAATGTATTGAAATACAAATACAAATTTAGATAACTTGTTTTTATCATATTTATTGAGCTTATTATAATTTCAGTAAACAAAGTGGCTATGGCTATGTCATTAGTATCTTTATTCCTGTAAGAAATAAAAGAATATTCAAAATAATTTAAATTACTTTGATGTCTCTAAACCCTTATATATTATAAATATAATCTTCTTTTTTTTTCTAATAATCCTGATAGATTTATTTTAACGACAATGTTTTTGTTTTTTCTTGGCAGAACACAAGAAGCTCAGGAAGTGTATGAAAGAGCCCTGCAGTTTGACAGCAGCAATCCTGATATTTATTATAATGTAAGTCATCGTTTAGTTTATAAGAATTTAACAATTTAAGCTGTTGAAAATATAATTACAGAATTGAAGAAAAACAAGACAATTGTACGTTTCACAAATACATTATTTATTACAACCATGGTTTTTGCCTGTACCTGATGATACCTTCACTGTTGAAACTATAGTTGTAATAAATGATGTATTTGTGAAATGTACAATTGTCTTGCTTTTTCTCAATTATGGAGTTTCACCAAGTTCTGATGGTTTCAAGTATCAATTATAGAAAATATAATTGTTACCAAGTCTCATCATGATTTGTTAACTGTTTACATAAGTTTTAGTAAATCTTTTTTTTCTTTTTAGAATGACTTCAAATTGTAACATGAAACTACATTCATTTATTCTAAGTAGCTTTTAGCTCGTAACAGTATACATCTATTTGTAATTAACTTTTATTGTTTTATTGCCCTTTTAATTACCCTTTGAACAGTGTCTAACTACTATCCATGCCATTATAAGTTGTAAATCACTCTGGGAACATGCAGCTCATGTTATGCTATCAAATTACATTACCCATGAGCTAATACGAGTTGCGAGTTGCTCCATGTGAGTGCCTCGTGGAACATTTTTATGATATCATGATTATTATTTATTTTACCTAATTAAATCTTAACTAACCTGAAAATATCCCTATTTTTACATTGTAATTACTTTTATAATATTATATAAAGAATAAACATGAAAAACAAGAAATATAGTACTTGTCCAATCTTCTTTTTTTTTGCTGTCGATTGTCAATGACACTTAACCCTACTTTTAGTATACTAATGGTAGTAAGGCACTAAATGTTTATTTAATTAAATAA